TTGTTGATGCTTCTGAGGTAGATGTCGTATTTGGTACCAACACATTCACTGGAGCTGATGCCACAAGTATTTTGAGCATCTACCAGTCATGTGCTTACAGTGTCAGCGCCAGTGCTAGCTCGAACATTGCTTCCGGTTCAGAATCAGCATCTAGTGCTTCAGCTTCAGCTTCAGAATCAGCATCTAATGCTAATGCTTCAGCTTCTGAATCAGCATCTAGTGCTAATGTTTCTGCTTCCGATTCAGCCACCAGTGCTTCCGAATCAAGTTCTGCTTTTGTTGAATCAGTATCTGGCTCTGGTGTTTTATCTTCGGCTTCTGATTCAAGTTTACGAGCCTCCACTTCTGGCTTCGTTACAGCTTCTGAATCAGCCTCAGGCTCTTGGCCTACATCTATTGATGGTATTCCAACAACATTGCAAAACTGCGACGTTGCACTCAATTCATGGAAAACAATAGTCAATGGTATTGAAACTATAATGTACTTACCAACTGCAGCAACACCAGTTGTTGATGCTTCTGAGGTAGATGTCGTATTTGGTACCAACACATTCATTGGAGCTTCAGCCTCAACCATTTTGAGTCTTTATCAGTCATGTGCTTCGAATGTTTCTTCTAGTGCTGGCGTTGTTTCAAGTATGAATTTTGCCTCTGAGTCTATTTCTGCTTCCGAATCAAGTAGTCAACTTGCGTCTGGTTCTTCTGACTCTGTTTCTGGTATTTCCGCATCTAATGCAATTTCTGGTGTATCTCAATCCATTTCTGGAGCATCTGAATTGATTGTTAGTGCTTCTTCAAGAGAGTTAAATTCTGAATCATTTTCTGGTGTGTCCTCTTCTGGTACTTCACTTTCGGATGCTTCTGCTTTAGATTCCGAATCAACTGTTACTGGTGAATCAGCATCTGTCGCTTCTAGATTTGAGTCGGATTTTGTTGTTTCTGGCTCTGGCTCTGTCGTTACTAGATCTGAATCTGCTTCTGTTGCAACTGATTTTCCCATTTCAGAATACAATTCTGAATCCAAACTTGCCAGAGCCAGTTCAAGTATGTCAGCCTCAAACGCTGAATCAGTATCTGAATCAGTGACTTCGGCTGTTTCTATTAAATTGAGCAGTTCTAATGGCTTGTCTTTGTCCACATCAGGAACTGATTCAAGTGTTTCTGATATATTGATTTTAGAATCATCTTCATCCTCTTTTGTCTGGCCAACCTCAGTCGATGGGGTTGCCACTACAATACAAAACTGTGAAGTTGAGCTCAATTCATGGACTACATCTGTTGATGGTGTTGCAACTACTATCTACTTACCAATTGCTGCAACACCAGTTGTTGATGCTTCTGCAGTCGATGTTGCTTTCGGTACACACACTTTTACTGGTGGATATGCATCAACTCTTTTGGGGTTATATGAATCATGTTTCAGTGCATCAAGTAGTTCAATGAAGGCATCTGCTGCTGCTTCAGCAACTGCGTCTGTCACAGATGCATCTTCCTCATCTTTTGTTTGGCCAACTTCAGTCGATGGGGTTGCCACTACAGTTCAAAACTGTAACGTTGAACTCTATTCATGGACCACATCTGTTAACGGAGTTGCAACTACTATCTACTTACCAGTGGATGCATCGCCAGTAGTTGAAGCGTCTGAGATTGATGTTGCTTTTGGCACCAATACCTTGACCGGTACATACGCATCAAGTCTTTTGATTGCATATGAGTCTTGTGTTATTGAATCAAGTAGCTCTTTGCAATCATCAGCTACTGCAACTTCCTCAAGTGAAGACGAGAGTATCACATACGATGAATCGACCTCTTCAGTTGAAAGCTTACCAACTTCTTCTGGATTTTCTACTTTGAGTATTTCTACGTTGGGCAGTGCTACTTCTCTGTCTTTTGTTCACAGTAGTAGATTTAGTTATGCTAACTCAACTGTTGTGAATATACAGTCAGCCAGTATATCCGCGTCGACCATCGATGCTGACTCTTCATCAATGACTGTATCAGGTGATGACATATCTGTGTCTAGCGATGCTTTCCTGACTTCAATTGCAGGTGCTGCAACAACAACTGCTTCAGCTGCTAAATCCGTTATTACCTCTGAATCAACCTCAAGTGCTAGTGATGCTTCAGGTGAATCATCTACTTCAGTTGCGTATGCAACAACTATGGCTGCATCTGATACCACTTTCTCTGAAAGTTCAGATGTCATCGGTTCTAATACTGTGGCCAAGTCATCCGGTACCACTGGAGAATCAAGCTCATCTGGCAGTGACTCCGCTGGAGTTAGCGAAAGTGACGGCTTACTGAATGTCATCGGAAGCCCTACAGAAAGCTCACTTTTGCCTACAATTTCTGCTGTGTCCTATAGTGCAGATTCTTCTAGTGCCACTCCTCCATCTAGTGAATCAGATTCTGGTAATGCCAATACTGCAATAGAATCACTGTATGTACCTACTCCAGGTAGCTCAGTTGGAACTACTGCAACTGTCGTTTCATCTTTGGGAAGTGCTTCTTTAGGATCCTCTTCTGATTTATCTGGTACTTCAATTTCTAGTTCAAATGGAGCCGCAATTCTTTCAACTTCTAGTTCAGGATCATCTGCTTCCACTGATAGTTCTGTCTTTGTTACTTCTGCTTCCAACAATGCCGTTCGTTCCGCTGAATCATATAACGACGTTACCACCACACCAAGCGTTGCAAGCTCAGGTGGCATTACCACCTCGAATTCCGACGAAAAGTATGATTCACAAATGAGCTCCGTTCCACCACCAACTATTATCACTGTCACCACAACCGTTCCTATTATGAGTACTGTTACCGAAGATTGTCAATCTTATGAGAAGTACACCACCTCAACAGTTGTTGTTTCTGCTCTTACCGAAACACTTCCAAATGGTAGTACGATAACTAGAACTGTCAGCTCAACCGAATCCATAATCACATCTAGTGTGGTTACCGGAACATTGGTTATCACCACTCTTCCTGATATTGGAGTTGTCACCATGTCTATTCTGTTGCCATCAATGACTACTTACGCAAGACCTTGTGTGAGTGTCCTTACAACAACTGATGAGCACGGTAACGATGCCACCACGACCGTCAATTTAGTGAAAACAATCACCACTACTTTCTGTCCTGCAACTGGTGAGAATGGAAGCATCGTCACTGTCAACGGCGAGCAACCTGAGACTATTATCAATGTTTCTACCACCGTTGTCACTGTTACTAGTTGTTCTGACAACAAATGCTCTGAAGCTACCAAAACATCTGGTTATTACGTAGCTGCTCAAGGACCAACAACGTATACTTCATACGTTCCTACGGAAGCAGAAGAGTATTACGAAGGTCCTAAACTTCAATCCAAGACTATTACCATTGGGGATTTGACTACTGTTGGATACGCCTTAAGCACAAACACCCCTGCTTCTGAAATCATCCATACCACAGTATTGAACTACAACTCTTGTTCTGGTGAGGAATGTGTTGCTACTTCAAAGACCACTGGTTATGTTGTCTATATTACTCAAGGAGTGACAGAGACTAAGTTTGTTCCATGCCAGACACCTTCCGTTGCAACCGCTGGACAAACCACCATATATGAGAATGAAACTCCAACTGTTACTGGTTACACTATTACCACCAATAGTAAAGGAGAATTAAAGACCTCGTATGTTCCATTATCCGAAGTTATTGGTACTTCTGCTCCAGTTGCTATTAGTAGCCCTGGCTCCAACTACAGCACACCTTCAATTCTGCAATTATCTTCTGATTCCAGAAAGATCGGTGTTTCCTTAGCATCCATTGTTTTTGCTTTCTTAATTGCTGTAACTTGTGTTTGAAATTGGTAACCTCTGAGAAGGCCTTTTATTTTATTACACTCAAACAATTGCTTTACAATAGTAAAGACAACTTTTGCATTATCTGAGTCAATTTGCTTTGACCAGAACTTACTCATCAAAATAGAACTTGCATTTGATATCAACCACATTTATTTTTTTTCAACAGATGTTGATATCTGCTCTTTAATAAAAGAAACCGTTTTTTCTTTTCATTCTGCATTTATAACGGCACATTATTATCATAGGAACCATTAAAAGGCTCCAGAAACATGTGGCCCATTATTACAACAATTATTACTTGTATAGAGAAATTCATATGATATATTTATCATTCCTTATTTGTAGTCAACATCAAGAAAACTTTTGTATAAATGGTTTATTTTAGTTCAGTATGAAGTTAGGTATTAGCGTGTATACACCAAATAAGCGCTAACGATGATGAAGGTTTGCATAAGTTAATGTTGATGCCGTCTCTCTCAGCCTCTGTAAATAAGAATAATATCATCATCAACAACAAGAAAAAACGGAACGCTGTTTTCAGAAAAGTTTCGGGGTATTTTTTTAACTTGGGGACGGAGAATAGCGGAAGGATGACAATATGGAAATGGGGTTATAGCTGGTAAAGCCTTCATTAAAGAATTCTTGGCCAATTACTTTACTGTAAAGCATTATTTCTGTATCCGCTTTCTTCCGCCATTTACAAGGAGAAGCAGTACAGAGACTCCTCACCCGGAACATCAGACAATGTCAAGATAAGCACTAAAGTGGGATATTCTTATTGTTTTCGATAGCAGTATTTTTGTGGAGAGTACACGGTAGCGCCAACCAGTTGAGGAAGCAAGCGGACTTTCCCCTGATTTTGACACCTCTTGGCACTTGCAACCTCGATGTAGTTGACGGCTGCAGAAACTAATTAATATAAACACAACAATCGATTAGTGTAATAAATGTTTTTAACAATTATAGAGCTGTTGAAAACCCCATAAAGAGTTTCAACTAAGTATGGAACGGTTAAATGAAGCAACAGCAAAGAATGAGTCGATTCGTTCGGATGGTGGGGGTTATTCCTGTAGGATAAACCCGTGGACATTATGTTTGCACTGGAAACAAATAAGAGTTGTTCCTACTTTATCCTGTTCCGACAATTATGGAGTATAATTTTTCTAGCAGTATATAACGACCATGTTACCCCTCTTTTTTACATTCTGAAACTTATTTCATTGAAAGCCCGGAGTATTCGTTGAGCTCAACGGTCAAGGTTTGCTTGCGATACCCCAAATTATTTCTAACCACAGGCTGCAGAGACCCCAATCTCGGACTGCAAGATAGCGGAGTAGTTATGTTCAGGCTGTTTACTTGATATTTTAATTTATGCTAACTCATTCATTTTTATTTTTACTAGATGGTATTCGATTTGGATTTAGTTATTTTCAAACCAATAACTTAGCTGTGCTTGGCCGGTTACTTTGGCTTTGATTTCGACAGGTTCTGTTTCATACGGCGAATTAGATGCCATCTGTAAGTGGTAGTTAAAATAAGGAGATCTCGCTGAACCCCCGAACGTACCCCCGCGTATTCACGCCCCACCTAGTGCCAATTCCTGTGTAGAAGATTTTTGTTGTAAAATAGCGAATGTGTCACCCCAAAGATAGTTTTGTGTGGGGACTTTAATTTCTCGCAATTAAATAATTACACACTACTAACAATTATTTCCCTCTACGTGAAACAATAAGCAGATCTAACAAAGCGTTGGGCCATACTGCAAAACCATACTTATCTGGGCATTGCGGAAACAATGGCGAATAGAAAAAGTACCCCAGACTCCCCCGCATTATTTTTTATTCTATCTTGAATAAGGCAAGATTCAAAAGCGAGCCTATTATCCGGCATACAACATACAGTTACGTACGTGCGGCCCGCTTTTTTTACAGCCATCTATCTCTGCTAACCAATCAGCCTTCCATTCAGTCCAAGGCGCTATTGATAACCCTCCATTAACCGAAACAGTAAGGATTGAGATACGTAATGTCCCCGGTAACAGTGCAGGAAGCCCAACTCTTAAGCCTAGTATCACTGTTAACATAGTATACACAAAAGATAATACAATTAATAAAGATTTGCAAACTTTTTTTTGAGTTATGTCGTAATAAGCAATAGTTCACTTATCATTAGCGTTTTTATTCCCCGGGATAGAGTTATTGCATGATTATAAATAAAGCTCCAGACGTCTCATTTGGCATAACTCTTTTTTCTATCATCATCATTATCAACATCATCTTAACAAACAAATAAGCAAGAGAAGATGATTGACGTCCAATCTATGACCTCTTTCGAGAGAAGGGAACACTTAAAACATGTCATGCACCCACCAAAGTTCACTTCTGAGAACATCAAAAAGTATGCGAGTACTAGATTCTCCAGCTTATTTGTTCCTAGAGACGAATTAGCTCAATATTCCAAACAAGAGATATTCAACCCCTTCTCCGTCTTGAGGGAGTTGACTTGGAAGCAATGGAATTTCTTCCTTTTAGGTTTCAGTGCTTGGACTTTGGATGCCTTTGATTTCTTCTGTGTCTCCCTTAATACAACCGAGATTGCTAGGGACTTGAAAGTTACCGTTAAGGATGTCACTTGGGGTATTACCTTGGTTCTTATGTTGAGATCAGTCGGTGCTGTTATTTTTGGTTTATGGGGTGATCGTTACGGTAGAAAATGGCCCTACATTACTAATTTGGTCTTGTTAACCGCTATTCAAATCGGTACTGGTTTTGTCACAACTTATAAGGAGTTCTTAGGTGTTAGAGCCATTTTCGGTATTGCTATGGGTGGTATTTATGGTACTTGTTCTGCCATCGCAATGGAAGATTGTCCAAAAGCTGCAAGAGGTGTCATATCAGGTATGTTTCAACAGGGTTACGCTTTCGGTTACTTATTTGCCATCTTATTCCAAAGAGTTCTTGCTGATAACACCAAGAAGGGATGGAGAACTTTGTTTTGGTTCTCTGCTGGTTTGGCTGTACCTTTAATCATTTGGAGATATTTCACAGAAGAAACAGATACCTTTAAGAAGCAACAACAAAGTTTCGATGAACACGCTAAGACTACTTCCAAGGCTAAGGAATTCAAGGAGGAAGGTAAGAAGGCCATGAAGACTTATGGTGTCGTTGCTATTTACGCTGTTCTTATGATGGCTGGTTTCAACTTTATGTCTCATGGTTCTCAAGATTTATACCCAACCTTATTATCAGTTCAATTAGGCTTTGGTAAAAACAAATCCGCTGTGACTAATTCTGTTGCTAACTTGGGTGCTATCTGTGGAGGTTTGACTATGGGTCACGCATCTACATTTTTGGGTAGAAGATTAACTGTTATTATTGGTTGTGTCTTGGGTGGTGCTATGATTTACCCATGGGCTTTCCTTGAAAACAATGGTATTATGGCAGGTGCCTTCTGGTTACAATTCTTTGTTCAAGGTAACTGGGGTGTTGTTCCAATTCATTTGTCTGAATTGTCTCCACCACAGTTTAGATCTTTTGTTGGTGGTGTTGCTTACCAATTGGGTAACTTGGCATCTTCTGCATCTTCTACTATTGAAGCCACTATTGGTGAAAGATTTCCTATTTATAATCCCGATGGTACTCCAAAGAAGAGTGCTTCTGGAGCTACCATCTACGATTACTCCAAAACTATGGCTATTTTCGTGGGTGCTGTCTTTGCCTATGTGATTGTTATCATGTTCGTTGGACCCGAAAACAGAGGAGCTGATTTGTCTATCGACAGAGATGAAACTGACTCCATTGCCGATGTTGTTGATGAAGAAGAACAATTTGATGAAGACAAGAAGCCTGATGTTGTTTACACTGAAAGAGTTTAAACTAAACTAAAATGAAAAGTACTTACAAACAAAACTATTCCGGTAATAGTAAAAGCATTTGCTTACGATGAATGAAATAAATTTACTCAGGGTGTTTCTATATTTGTAATAATGAGAATGAACTTCGATTAAAAGAATACTTTCTGTCTCTTTCTTTTCATCTGTGTCTAACTTCCTTTGTAGTATCATCATCATCAAAGATTTCTACCAATTTTGGTTCTTCCACTTGGATCTCTTCGATTTCTACTGGTGTCTCCTCTTCAACTTCATCGTTTGGTTTGATGACTGGTGGAGGAGCCGGCGAGAACAACGAGGAAACAGCTTGAGTAAACAAAAACATAACCACACTTCCAAAGCCAAACACAATGGTGAAAAGGAACACAAACCCAAAGCAATATGCTATAAACTTGACAGGCTCTCTAATTATGGTTTCTGCTGGATCCAATTGGAAATCATAAATGAAGTCAAATACATTGTTCAATTGTAAACGGATCAATAGCCTAAAGAACTCAAAGATGCCCAAATCGTCCAAATCAGAAACAGACTTAACGGACTTCGGTGGGGCAACTGGCTCATGCTTAGCCTTGGGACGATGGAGCTCATAGTTTTTAGATTCTAGTTTCTGTTTAGGAAGGAACGTGGAGTTACCTATCAATTCTGCTTCAGAAACTCTATGTCCAAGATAAATATTATCAAACATAATACTGCCTTCCATCGACCAAAGTTCAAACCCAATACCACCGATTGGTCTGAAGTTGAATGGTCTAACATCTTCATAGTAATCAGGGTTCAAGATTTGACGAGGCCTCCATTCTCCATTGAACTTGGGGTTAGCGATCTTAGGATGAATCCATGGTCCTTTATAATCCGGATTGGGTACAACTGGTACATGGTTTTCCCATTTCTTTCCACAAACCATACCTTCACATTTTGGATTTGGAATCACGGGCTTGACATATTCTCCATCCTCATCATCGTTCCAAAGTTGTGGTTTGGTAGATTCGGGATCTTCAATATACTCAGGTTCATCCTCAAGCCAATTCTTGGGCTTCACCACATCAGGGTCAGGAATAAATCTACTACCATATAATTGTTCGTAGTTGTCAGGCTTGGTGACTGTTGGATCCTCAATGAACTCAGGCTCCGCATCCCATCCTTCAGGTTTAATATCTTCTGGGTCTTCAATAATAACTGGGGGGTTTAATGGTGGAGAAAGCAAATGAGGTCTGTCCAAGATATTGGCATATTTGGCAACTTGTCCATTGATTCTAATTTCAAATGCACCTCTGGGGTGTAATATCAATGTGTATAAATTAGTCAATTGGCCTGTTTTGGCCATGGGAGGGACCGTTAAATGCTTTTCTTCACATTCCTCGGTTTTAGGGTTACACCGGTTTATGATGAAATGAACTTTATTCTGAGATCCACACATGTCTGGACCAAACATGACCTCATAACCTGTTTCAGAATTAAACTGCTTGCCGTTGATCGGGGCTGTAAGAAGCTTAACGTACGCACCGCCACAACTAAGTCCGTTTTGAAGTTTCACTTCATATTGAAGAACTAATGGTATCTCTTTATTAGTGAACTTCACCGGCAACGAAATGGCACTATGACTAGCAGGCAGTTTCATCACAAGCCCTTTATCACCTTCAAAGCCAACATAAGCGTTTGTGCCTTCCTCTATTGACCACAATCCCAGATATTTATCGTTAGCTGATACCACCCATGGAGATTGTTCCAAGGACTCGTATTCAAATTGTTCAAATATACTATCATCTGCCAATTGCGACTTATTGAAGGGAACATATTTCGATGGGTCCAAAGCAATAACAATGGCCACATACGCCAACAAAGAAGTCAACCATGATGTTGTCACCATTGTTCAAAGATGTGGAGTGGAATGGTGTGGTTGGATTAATTAGTATTACCTTGCGTATGCTGAATAATTGATGATTTTCTATGCGCACTGGAAAATGTGGTAGTGAATCAAGCCATTGAACGCAATCACAAGAGAGAATCTAGTATAAAGGCGTGGAAACCTAGTACATGATAAAGGGTATTTAACCACAAAGGACTATTGTACTTGGATGGAAGTGAATTGCTAAGTCAGTATATATGGATATACAACTATATGATGCATGGAAACATGTGTGCAAATGAAGAATGCAAGGAAAGGTGTACATGTGTAAATTCACGCATGTACTTATTTGCATAACCTGATATTAAGTCATGTAAAAGAAGATAAAGGTACTAATCTTAATCATCATCTGTACGTTTGCATGATTTAACCTTCTGCATCGAATGTATTAATACTATGTACTATATCCTTTTCCTCAGTTTGCCACTATTATAAACCCAAAATACTAAGCTTCCTCTTCTTCCAATAAGGCGAATGAATTATTAGGTGCCATGGCCTTAGTTTTACCTTTTATATTATCCCCATCAAAGAAACTTGCAACATATGCATCTTCTTCCTCTTTCTCGATTTCAGCTGCAGTCTTGGGAACGCTTGCTTCTATCAATGCATTGGTCACAGAAATAGATCCATTAATCTTATCCCAGCCCGATTTACGTGTAGTTTGAACATATTTATGACGTTCTATACTTTGGGTAATCTTACCAGCAAGGACACCTTCAACTTTAGAAGATCTGTCAACTTTATGCTTAAGAGTGTTGGTTTTCTTCTTGTTACGATCTTTACGGATCTTCAGATTCTCCATCTTCTTCGCTAACAAGTTTTCATTCTTAATAGTGGTACGGATGATAGACGATTTGACATCATTTTCAGCCTTGGGCAACTTTGCCAAATCCCGTCCTTCATCCACATCGTCTTCTAAATAACCTCTTCTGGCCGCACGACTTCTCTTAGATACTAGTTGATATGTTAGTACTCTTGTTTCCGTATAATGCCACTACCAATAGTCTTACTTACCCTTTTTAGCCATTGTATAGTTGCTATTACTGAGATGTTGGAGTTATCAAGCGATTTCAGATGAGATGAGCTTTGAGTGTCAGTCTCAAAAATACGCTGCGAAATAATTATATTAAATCGTCTCTATATTTCTATTTTGATAATGCTTACGTTACGTCTCTAATGGTCGTTTGCCATTCTCATTAGTCTCACCTTCCTTTAATTGCAGTCTTACTTGAAGCACATAGTCTGTAGTGGCTTTAGCCAATTCCAATTCCATTGGTCTCCAACAATTTTCCAAATCTTTAATAGCTTTCTCAATTAGCTTTTCTATCTTATCGGGATCACCAACTAATCCTGTTTTTGCTCTTAATTTACTTATATACTCCTTCTTTAAAGCTACAAGTGATTCGTTGTAGTCTCGAAGTGACCCGAAAAGCTTCTTTAATTGTATGGGATTGTCCCCATACAAATAAAGCTTCCAGAAATGTGATAAATATTCAGTGATGGTGATGTTAAACCTAATAATACTCTGCATATCTTCCATAGTAATGCTATTATTCAAGGGACTCAATTGATCCAGATGAGAACTCCCAAGATTAGTCTTATATGCTCTTGAATTCAATTTAGTTAAAGAAATAATCTCATTGGCAGATTTATTGATATCTTCTTGCCTAGATTCAAAGGTATCAGCTAAACTGATACCTCCAGGAACAGATTCAACTATATTGCTCGAAATATATGCTTCAATAGCTTTATCGTCCATTGGAGTATGCAGATGTTGTTGATTAGAATGGGCCTGAATCTCTAAATCACGTTGACTTTCAATCTTGCCAACATTTAACTTCACAAATTGTGTGGGCTTGGTTTCATGTAAATCATGTAAATCTAATTCTTCTGCAAATTCATTGAATTCTGCTTGAGAAAGATCTGTTGGTTTAGATTTGGTGATGGTATCTGTTGATGAAGTAATGGAATTATTCCCTTCATCACTATTCTTTTCACTCATTTGAATCATTTTTGATGAAAGCTTATTCATATTCTTCATCAAGAGAACCATCTCATTTTCTTGCCCACCTGGCCCTCCAAAATTTAAGGTCTGTTTAACTTTCGGGTCAATATCAACATATCTCATTGTGAAATCTGGTCTATTCCCCAATTTTTGGGAATTATCCTCTTCATTCCCTGCTATATCAATGAACTTATTAACTGATCGTTCTCCTAAAGTGGCTATTTGTTCCCTTATGGATTCATCATCTTCTTGTTTTTTCTCTAAGAAATCTGGATCAACATAAAGATACTTATCTATAATTAAATCACCTCTATCATTTGGCCTAATTTTATCACCTCTTAATCTTCTAAACAATTTGGAGTTGAAAAATCTAGACCAAAATTCTCCTTCTTGAATTTTCAGAGGGACCAAATCAGAGAAGGCCTTTCGGATTAATGGATAAGTATCAAAGATCTCATTAATCATATCTCTTGTTACATTAACATTCACTTGGTTATCAGAGGTGGCCACTGGTTTAATTGTAGATAGTACATTGTAGGGACCTCTATGCTGAGAAATTGTTAATGCATATGTCCGAAGTTGACTGATTCTTGTAGACCAAAAGATAGTGGGGGATAATTTATAATGAATCACAGATTGTTTGAAGGTATCATATAGTACTTTATCTTCGAGTAAGAGTTTCTGTTGTAACTTATGATTCTTCAAAAGTGCAGAATCCGAAAGTGATATACGATCACCAGACGCAGAAATAGCCTCTGGTCCGGGAGTACTTGCCGAAGGTGCTGGGGTTGAAGGTACGGGGGTCAGCAGGTCAACTGGAGTAGCTATTTGTGAAGTTGGAGTGGCATCCTTTATGACTGTTCTTGATCTAGCCACAATTGTTTGTAAAGACTCCTTGATAAAGTTCATAGTGGGACGATTATTAAAAGTCAATTTCAACCGCTGATCCTCATCATTGAGTCGGTACGTAACAATCAACATCATTTTGGGGGATGTTTCCTTAGGTGCTTGGAGATTAGTTAAGGTATTCAAGGCAATAGAGATCTTGTCAGACTGATTCTCCACTGCAACCCATTCTAACGTAGGAGGAGCAGTATCTTCTCGAACATGAAGCATGCCTGCCTTTTTGGACACCAGACATGCCCCTGAAACAGCTGACATGGTACAACAGTGTGATTCAAGGAGATATCAGTTGTGAAAAGTCCTTGTATAGTGTGCTATAACTTTTTGTAGCCTAGAGCAATGAGTTGTGCACGACTATATATATGATATTTTTGTTGGTGAAATTCTATTAGATGAAGTAGCCAAATGTTTAACAAGAGTGTCTGTCTAATTTGATAACACTGATTAATACAAGATGCTAAGTAGATCAATAAACAGCAAAAGGTTAGCATTCGGTTCCCGTTTTATTTCACAGACTAGCGGTCTTTTGCAAACCGTCAGTCCTTTGGAACGTCCCGTAACTGTTGACCGGGAATTACCAGACCCATTTGCTAAGAAGAGACAGAACCGGAGATACTTCTGGGCATATGCCATCGGGGTTACTATACTGTGTGGTATTATTTTCAACTATGAAAAGACACGGTCGCCTATCATTAATTCAACAATGTATTTCCTTAGACGTTCTGCTGTAGCTAAGGATCAATTGGGAGACCACATTGATTTTAAGACATCGTGGCCTTGGATTTGGGGGAAATTGAATACTGTACAAGGTGATATTAATATTCATTTTGATGTTAAGGGTGATAAAGGGTTAGGTGAATTACGGTTAAAGGCCCATAGAGAAAGTTCCAGACATCCATTTATTATAGAACAGTTTGTTTTGGCAAAAGATGGTATTGATCACGATTTGACCAATGATCCTACCATTGATTTTGAGATTTAGTAGTACGACTAAAAATAGTTGAATATCTTGTACATAAGAATAACGGCATAACCCTTAAGAATACACGTGAAAAGAAAGGTCGGAGAGGATATAATGTAGTACATAGTGGAAGGGCATTACATAGTGAAGGGCCTCCCCTCGCTGGGGGAAAGAATTAAGTGATCTCGCCACTTTGATTGCACACACTACTATTATTTCCATACACGACATTCTGAAGTAAGCCATGTAATTACTCTCGATCTCAATCCATTCCAGAAGGATACAAAACATACTTTATACTTCCTTCATATTATGGCTGGGTTCTGCATTGGACCAACATCACAATAATGCTATCAAATACGCCATGAAACATTAGGCGGTATGTATACTAAACCAACTGGGATGGGCTGTGGATTCCTTGAAAATGAAAAGGGGTAGTATGCCCACCGGAACAGAGCACCATTAGTATATACGGACTTATCGTATTAAATAAGTATACATCCATCAAAACTCGTACCCCAGATGTTTGGCATATATACTATATGTACTTATACCCATTATGATTATACTTCTCAGTGCATATTTTTGGTTAATGTTTAACTACAAAGCAATGTATACTTTACTCTCCGCCTTATTATCATCATTATACGCAGTAGTGGTGGTTTTTCCACTCAATTTACCGCGAACCAGCCTCCGACAAATGTAGTTAGAAAGATTCCATGGAATAGTTGACACCTTCAAGCAGATACAATAGAATCAAAATAAAAGTAAGAATATCAGCTATTGCCCAGAGCTGGCATTCGAAGTTACATAATCAACTTAAAAAAGTGATAGGGGACTTTGCTCGGTTTCAAAGGAAATTTGTGCTACCTGGATTGATCCGTCCTCCTAATTTTTTTTCTTGAGCCTCCTTGCTAGAACTCATTACCTTCCCATAGCATCGAGTTACTGATTTTCTTTATCATGGGGTATAATGTAGGACTTGCTGTGGGTATATCCATAGGAGTGCCTTGTGCACTCGTATTAACAATCATCTTTGGTATTTGGTGGAAATATCAACACAGACGAAGAAGGGAGTCAGACATCGAGACCGATCTCGATATAGAACTCAGAGATGATATGCTGATGCGGCAGTTTAGAGAAGAAATAACGAAAACGTATCATAAGTCACCCCCTCCACCTCCACCCGATAAAGCCAAAGCTTACGAAACTGTGAGTGAATCCACTGGTGGTTCGTTTAACGAAAGTGCCAATGTCAAATCTAAAGTACTGGAATCACCAGCACTCTCCTCAGATACTGCGGATCATATCCATAACAACAACAATATCAGCAATTATGCTGAGAATACTGCTGCCAATAATAATGCATTTCTTAACCCCCCTCGTTTACATAAGAAAACCGCCTCATCTTATGATATATATGATTCCATGATCCCTATTCTCAAGGAAGGTCAACAGTCAACTCAAACACAAACTACAAGAGGGATTTTCTCTGGCTCACATAATAATCTGGGAATTTTTAGTTCACCAGGGAGAATATATAACCATAACAACACAAGTCAGCAACAATCCCTTAATGATGGGTCAAGTTCACATCTGTCAATGCCGCTAAATGCATTGGGAGGGTCGACTCAAAATCCAGATAAACTGCTAGATTCCCTCGCTAAACAATTGCATAATCCTAAACTTTTTGAAAAGCTTCCTTCAAACTTAGAATTTCCAAACTTTACCAGCTCCGAAACCAGATTATCGGGACATTTAGGTACATCCAATAACAATTCTACTTCAGATCTACTTAATAATGTGTTGATTGGGGAAGATACCAATTTGAATGATAATTTTATCTATGAGACTCGCCCTCAAACAGATAAACCATCAACAAAATCTCCATTCAGAGATACTTCATCAACATCCAAACATGATGATTTACCTCTGCCGTCCATGAATTAGCTAGTAGACATGTCATTCGCTGTATAGATTATAGTACATCATATCACAAGTGGTACATTCCTGTGTAAACTGTCCTAGTAGTAAAGGAAGATTCGAGTATAGTTAACTACAATTGCCACACATCGGGTAAATGTTTATCCTAAGCAAACTTTAATCTAATCAATAACCATAAAGTTTTTGATTTCACCGTAATCATCCACCCACCCACCAATTCACAGAAACCCATTTCAAAAGATGTTCCGTCAGGCTTGGAGACGGTATGCAACATATAACCGGTTTAAGAACTCGCCGCCACCAATCAATGTGAACTTCGTAGTTAGCCTTCTTTCTACGCGGAGGGCAGCTTATGTTGGCGGAGGATTAGCGGCCTTCTATGTATATAATTTAGATAGAGCTCCATATTCTGGAAGATTAAGATGTTTGTGGGTTCCAGATCAAGCCGTGAAGTTAATTGGAGATTTGGAAGAGAATAATATGCTTCAATCATTTAAAGGATCTATTCTTCCTAAATCCAATCCACTTCAATATAGAATCTCAAAGATCATGAATCGATTATTGGCTAGTGCACTTGAATCCCTGCCAACCCCTGAAAGAAGAAGGTACTTGGAACTGTTACCCTGGGAGATCCATATTATCAATGATAATCTGCTTCCACCCAATGCATTTGTATTACCCAATGGGAAGATTTATGTTATATCCAGTATACTTCCCATTGCTGAAAATGATAGTGGTATTGCCACAGTATTAGGACACGAATTGGCTCATTTGTTAGCACTGCACTCTAGTGAAGCATTACTGAAGAAACCAGTACAAATCCTTGTGTCTTCGTTACTTTATTTGGCCACGGGGTCTTCATTAGTAAGTAATCTATTCACGGGGGTTCTTTTATCTCAACCAGCTTCAAGAGCTCAAGAAACAGAAGCTGATCGAATTGGATGCGAATTAATGGCAATGCTGTGTTTCAATTTGAACGAACTGACAAAGTTCTGGAAAAGAATGAGTGATTATGAAAGGGCTCACGGCTCTGTAGATAACGCATTGACTAATATGCTTTCTACTCATCCAGCTTCTAAAAAGAGAGTTGAAGATATCCAACTGTGGATGCCTCACCTCAGAGAAGTGGAAGAGAAAAGCGGTTGTAATCAACATCTCTTTGAACGCTTTAATAAAGTGCAGTATAACTTCTTTAAGTAATATACGCTTATTTATATAACTATTTACATGAATATTCATTCTTTTGTCTCAATCACAATTACATCACTTTTCAGTATCAATTGTTTAAATGGTACAACCTCAATTCTACATCGATAAGCATCATTTTTCACATCATCATCGGTTGGTTGTCGTACCAAGTAGACTTCAGTTGTACCTACTCTTTTCCTCAGCTCAACAAGGGACGAAGAAAACATAGGCATAGCAAGCTTAATGAATGACCCATCTTCTCCAACAACAAACAGATCTAAGTCTTTACTCAAATGAACCGAAACTTGTTGATTTTCGTCTAAAAGATACTGCAACGGTTGATCTGCCGACTTCTGAAAAAGAAAGTCTTTTATTCTAGCATCTGCTATCTTGATAACTTCCTCTACAAAATGATCAAACTCATTTTCAACACCAACAAGTACGTTCTCCAACAGTGATTCATCATACTTACATATCAGTATGATTCCATCATGACTCGTCACTTTATTCCTATTCTTTTCAGCAAGAGACTTACGCCATCGTCCATACAAATACCACCCACCAAGAACAAATGGAGGTCCAATAGTCACAAGCGTATCAGGGTGTATATGAGCCACAGTGTATCCACAAGTTGCCATTGCTGAAGCGTATTTAGCTCCAATAGGTATTTGATACCAGAGTCTTCGTAAGGGAGTGCTCAGCGCGAAATATGACTTCCTAGGTGGCTGTGAAGCCACAGAATACATCCGTCGACTAAACAATACACCTCTCGCCATTTGAAGTAAGTACTCTAAGGTTCAACATGTAGTGAAATGTACTGCAAAGCAAGTGAACCATTTAATACTTTCCAAAATACTCACGTGATCAGTCACGTGATATAGAGGTAAATTTGTGATGAGGATCGTCTCTCCCAAGCTGAACGGAACCTAGTCCTACCTGCTATCAATTCCTAGATAACATTATGGCTGATATAGGAACTGCAAAGTACCAGAATAAACGGATTAAGCTTGCGGGTCCCCAGAAACTTAAGTACTACTGTCAAGTATGTCAGAAACAATGTCGTGATAGTAATGGGTTTAAGAACCATGTGAACAGTCCAAGTCATATGGGGAAGGTATCAGATATGGATATGGGATCTGTTGAAGACTACCTGAAACAGTTTTCTACTGATTTTCTAAGGTTATTAAGATTAAACCACGGCACAAAGAAGATCAATGCCAATCGTTTTTATCAAGAATTCATTCTTGATAAAGAGCATGTTCATATGAACGCCACCAAATGGAATTCATTAACTGCATTTGTTAAGTACTTGGGCCGAGAGGGACTTGTCAAAGTTGAAAATAGTGAGTTTGAAAATGAATTTGCTTTAGAGATAAGTTATATTGATAAAGCAGCTTTAATACGAGATGGAGAATCAAAGAAACAAAAGGTGGCTCATTCTCAAAAGGATGATGAAGTCACTGTCCGATTATTACAGAAACGTAAAGAAATAGGGAAGAGAAACTTGGAACAATATGAAAAAGAAAATAAAGCGAATGATGATGTTAAAAGCAAATCGAACGACTTACCAGTTAAACCAGTGAAGATATCTTTAGCATTGAAGAAAAGGAAGTTAGAGAAACGCTCACTCTTTGGAGGAGAAGACGATTAAAACTTTGTATGTTAGATTGAACTATAGTATCATCTAATCGATCTAGGGTATAATAATACAGAGAGGGGTGGATTAGAAGCTTTATAATCGCTCGTAGCAAAGGACATATGCATCCCTGGATTCCACTGTATCGTTGTTGCCCATGCTAGTGTTGACAATATGTTCGTCATCAAATAAATACCACCCATGTGGTGGAGAATTGGTAGAAGAGGGACTCTGCAGATGGAATTTTGCATCAAGCATCTTATTGACAACGGAAATGTAATGTCCGGATTTAAGGGACCCAAAATGGTTGATAACTCCAACCAAATTATACAATACGGGTTCTGCATCATGTTCGAAATTAAGTTTCAACGGGAACTTGATAGGAACAGTTAACTTATGTTGCATGTTGGAGAATCTTGATAAATGAATAAACAAAATCTTGGGAAGTTTAACAAATGTCAACCGTTTCAATGAGAGCAGGTCTGGTGCTGAAGATTGAAGCTTTATAGGCTCAGGCTCCTTTGATGGTGATTTGGAGCGTTTAAACTTAAATATGCCTGATTTCTTTACATGGAAAACGGGATTGTTATCCAATCTATGTCCTTCTAAAGCATCCACTGCTTTGGAACATTTGGGACATTTCCATGCATTATCACCTTTAAGAACTTCATCTTGTGTATAATACATCAAGCAATCAGATAAATTTACCATTGATCCAGATGATGGGATTGGTAATGATAAGATTGTAAAAGATGAATAAGAAGCACTTTCATGTGAACATTTGTAGCAGATTAATTTACTCTGCAAATGACCTTGAAATAAATCATGAATGGGACTCAAGCCTTCATATTTGATTAAGTCGTCGTACCATTTGGCGTATTCATCTTTATCTTTCTGCGCACATAATAAACGATCATCAACAACTGGAGTATTCTGAGGTTTGAATCGAGTCTCGTTATGTAATTGATCCAAAACAAATATAAGAAACTCTTGAGCATCTTGTTGTTCAAATGGTACATTAAACTCTGGCTTAAAATGTTTCACGGTTCTAATAAAGTTGGCAGGGGTGATATTGCTGTTCCCCTTGTTAGTAAATACGTTTAGTAACCCTAAAATGGATGCGGCAAGTGAATTTGGTGCTCTTGGAATTTCAAGCGATTGCATTAACCTTTTGAAGTAATACAGACCAAATAGCACTTGTAGTGTCAGGTTGATATAACAACTAGAACCAAAATTCTTCAATCCACATATTCCATACACCTTGTAAGGATTTACATTCATAGGTGGTGCATATCCATTCGAATATGATGCGTTCATTATTTGCTGTGGTGGATATTGGGGACCCTGATAATATTGAGTCGGTGGAAACTGTTGGGGATAAATTTGTTGATTATGAGGGAACTGTTGAGAGGAAGGGAATTGTGAAAGTGGTGGAGGAGGGTAGTTGTTTGTATACTGTTGTTGTGGCCATGGAGCTTGAAACTGTTGTGGTGGTAGTGGTGGTTGTTGTGGAGGATACGCTGAGCTATTTTGCTTCTGATTATAGGCAACTCTGCCACTGCTAGTACTATTACCTTTGGGTGGTAAAGGTTGGGTAAAATTTCCCGTTTGCACCGTGGTAGAGAGTTGCACAGATTTACCTGGAGATGATGACTTAGGAGGAGGATTAACTGAGTTTCTTATATACTGAGTATTTGTTTTTGGAACTGGAGGGATAACCTGTGGGGGTCTCTTACTGAGTGGAAGTATTGGATCAGTGGTAGTACGAGCAACCTTTAATATTTTATCTTGGTTTATCTCAGGGTCAATTGAAATTGAAGGTTCTGTCAGTATCCGAGGTAACACTGGTGTTGTTTCTCCTATAAACGGAGTAAGATTAGTGACCTCCTCGGTCACGTTCAATGGATACGGTAATGTAGGTCTCTTTCGAGCCAAATTTGTGGCAGAAGCATTACTTGGTGACTTCAAAGTGCCATCATTATCAGTGTTGGAATCCGAATCACTTTCGTTAAATTCTATGAATGGCTCTGGATCTTCTAGTGAAGGGAATTTCGTTGTGAAGGAATCATTATCTTGATCTTTATCGGTGGGAGAATTCTGTAGTCCATTTAGTATTGTATCTCCGGTATTGTCCTTTTTCAAACCTTCCTGCTTATCTTTTTGACGCAAGTAGTCGATATATTCATACAACCAATTGTATAGTTCATTGACATCAAAGCTCAATAACTGATTATCAATCAAATATTCCAATACAAGAGTACGGAGCTGCAGCAGGGCTATTTCCGGGAATCCCATTTCATTATTGGAAAGAATAGAATTATCGTTCACATAAAAGGAAAACAAATTCAAATAAACAACAAAATCAATTTGAGATTTGGCTATTAATTGATCAAAGCCTTTATATTTCATCATGATATAGCTGTTGATAAAGTAATTAAGAATGATAAACCCATTGATATAGTAATCAGGATTATTTTTTCGTTTCAGATGTTCGTAGAGCAATTCACAATAATCTATCAAATCTAATAACAGCTTGTTCACAAGGTCGGTATCTAACTGGAGATCACGAAACCCATTGTTGATTAGCTTAAGATAATACGGATATAGATTATTTGGATCAGTCATATCTCGACCCTTATACTTTGGATTAGACTTTGGTTTATGATGATGACTTTGGGAGGGTGGTGGCGGAGGCTCACTAATCGGGGGAGGAGGAGGAGGTCGACGACGATTCGGAAGTTGATGATGAAGTAGAAGATTATGATTAGGATCCAAGGAAGAAGATGACGGCGGCATGGAAGCCTGGTTAAGATGCAAGTAAGATTTTGTCATTGAGGCATGGGATTTCTATGGCAAGTTCATGGCTTGTATCTTTGGTTTTTCTTGGAGCCCAAACGAGACACTATGACGAAATGAAAAGTTGCAAACCTAAAGCTGTCAAACTATTTGTAAGATGGCGTTTAGCAATATTAACGTTAATACTATTACTTTTGTTGTTCCTTACAAATATAGATTGTGTGTACGGTTATATGGAAGTATATGGCTTAATGAACTACCACTGGAGTGAGTTTAGATCATTAAACCAATTTGGTGTTGCGGAGTAAAAGTAACACCAAAACAAATCAAACTAGAAAATCTCAAACACGTTATATACAGGCGTTGATCCAGAGTACAAGAGGCTGTGTGGTGCTTTGATTGAAGGAGGAAAATAGAGTCATTTTCCGATGGGTTATAATTCTTATACACTTTATGTTAAGTAGGATTATATATATAAATGTTTCAGCAAGCCTAGAAGATGGGTACTGTTTTTGGTGGGTGATAGCAATGGTACAATTGTATGTGCTTCTTGATGCATTTAGCGGGTTCAACATGTCGTGAGTCTACATACAGGAAATTACTGATGTGCGTAGATAATAGGCATAGTGTAGTCAGGCACAGCTTGACCATATAATTGGTAATAGCACTACCAGAAGTATGAGTGGAAAATGGTATTCTCAGAAGTAGCTCTTACTTAGTAATGGTGTCAACAGTACCGTTGGCCAGTCTTAGTACTATCAGCGGTCGTTCAATCACTCACTGTTGTCAGTTCTAGTATTTGGAGTCATCCATCGTATGCATGTACCATCGTGTGCCCATTGAAAATTTCTCCTTACTTAATCAGATCGCATTCGATGCAATAGTGTGATATCATATATACAAATGTTGGCTTGGCCGCGACCTGTATCGAAGGTATCCATAAGGCACTTGATAATTAGTTTGGACTTTCCAGAAGCTTGCATAGGGCGATAAATTGAGTGGAAAGGGTAATATTAATCCAACTTAATTATTACGTACTTACATTCCCCTTTAATCGTAATTCTTTGATAATTATTTACTTGAATACAGGCTTTATCTTAGTAACCAATTTGTTAAATTATTACCTTGTTGGAAGTCATTGCAAGCCTTTTGTGAACGACACAATCATGAGCTGTCCATTGAATAAAAGAGAATCATTATATCTCTTACGCTGATGAATTGCATTATATATGATTAAAGTTAGTATAGTGGACCTGAGGATTCGTTTATGTGCCCCACCACGTGGCTATCATATTCACTTTATAATATCACGAGGGTTCCATAATTTATACAGGATAGATGAATGGCTGCGAAATAATACTATTGTTCATTAACCTTACAATCCCTCAGAATGAATGTTAGCTACACTGCATAGTAGGTTACTTTTTAATTTCATATTAGCTTCTACTGCAGAACTATCGCTTTAAGTATCCTATTTAGGGGTTCATTGCAGAATGTGTGTAGGCAATTGGGCTTCCCCTATACACTATCTTGGTTAAATTGCAACCTTCAGGTACACCCGTGGGCACCAGAATATATAAAGGAGCACTTTTCCAAAAATCTTGGCAACTTTGGCAGCTAATTAAATGGAATTGTCACTATATGGAGCCATGTGCTGATGTATACCGGGAATTAGCAACTGCCCTGTAGTCACATCACAACTACGTACCAACTCAATTCACATCTTTATGATTCAATACAATCAATTACTAACATCATGGCTATAATATAACTCATCCACTATCAATTGGGTTCGAATTATCAATCTGAAACCAACCAAGGCTAGTTTTTGGCCCTCCCCCACATCATGAAACTTGGCAAGAGTAGGGCCTGTGTCTAATCGAGCGTGGCATATTGATCATCGCAATACATGTACACGTTGTTAGAAGTACTCCGGTTACTCATAATATCGTTTACAATAGTAGAGACTTTTGCCGATTCCACATTCCTTTGTGCAGTTGTTTGGCCTTAGAAGAGTACTTTTTGCTGTATCAAGAGTATAAATAGTGTTCGTACTCTCACTGAACAATTGCCATGAGATAGCTATTTTTCAGATCGTCTCAGTAACTCCACTACTCTTCTACTTCTTCTTCTTCTTCATTGATCATAGGACACACTAACATGAAGTGCATTCTTTATCTCCTTGCTTGTTACTTGTGTGGATTGGTTGCTGCTGCTCAACCTACCAAGTACACAAACAAGAAGAACTTGATTTTTTTGGTTTCAGATGGTACCGGTGCCACTTCCTTCTCCTTTGCTCGTACTACCAAACAAACTCAAGACTACTCCGACACCACTGACTACTTTAAGAATGCTACTTACTACGATGTGTTGTCAATTGATGATTACGTTATTGGTAACATGAGAACTAGATCGTCATCCAACTTGGTCACTGACTCTGCGGCCGCGGCTACTTCTTTCTTCTGTGGTATCAAGACTTATAACGGTGCTATGTCTGTTGACGACGACGGTACACCTCACGGCACTCTTTTCGAAGCCGCCAAATTGGCTGATTACAAGACTGGTATTGTGTCTACCACTTTTGTTCAAGATGCCACCATCGGTGCTCCAGCTTCTCATGCCTTGAGCAGAAAGTATTACGACTTGATTGCATCCCAAATGTTGGGTATGGACCATCCTATGGGTCCCGTTCTTGATGTCATCTTGGGTTCTGGTAAGGCATACATGTACAACAAGAATGTCACCGCTTACGGTGTTAAAGGTGCCAGAGCTGACGACAGAGATATAATTTCTGAAGCCATTCATGATGGCTGGCAATATGTTGGTAATGTTACTTCCTTTGAAGAGTTAGATGAAGGTAAAAACGTTTCATTACCTCTTTTGGGTCTTTTCGGTGCCAAAAACTTTCCTTATGAAATTGACAGAAACCCTAAGGAATACCCATCTTTGAAGCAAATGGCTATCACTGCCTTGAATTCTTTGACAGAGGCTACCAAAGACTCTGAACAAGGTTTCCTTCTTTTGATTGAATCTGCCCGTACTGATCACGCTGCTCACGGTAACGATGCTGCTACTCATTACCACGAATTGGCCGCCCACGATGAAGTGTGGTCCGCTGTTGTTGACTATGCTTCTCAATTAGATGACGAAACCTTGGTTGTTTCTACCTCTGATCACGAGTGCGGTGGTTTGACTTTGGCTAAACAACTTGCTGGAGAGAAACAAGCTGTCTATGACTGGTACCCAGAATTCCTCTTGAAGGCTAACAACTCTGGTGAGTACTGCGGAAACTTATACTCCAAGTACAATGGCACTGATAACTCTACCTACATCAAAACCTTGTTGACCGACTATATGGGTGTTGCTGCTACCAACATCACTGATGACGATATCCAAAAGGTTTTGAAGGCTCCATCTGTTGCCGTTGCTTTGGGTCAAGTTGCATCTGACAAGGCCCATGTTGGTTGGTCAACCACTGGTCACTCCGGTGCCGATGTTCCTATTTACGCCTACGCCAACAACAGAAACGCTTATGAAGAAGCCGTTGCTAACATTGGTGCTAACGTTGAAAACATTGAATTGGCTGACTTCTTTGCCTACTATTTGGATGTCGATCTTTCCAAGGCCACTGAAAAGGTTGCTGACATCAAGGTTAAGCCATAAGAAGCAGATCCTTTAACAAAATAACCCAATAGTTGCTCTTAGAAACTCATCTGGGTGATAGAAATAGTTGCTTGCTTTATTTCAGTATCGTATCTTTTTATTTCTTCGTTTTATTGATTACAAAAATATTATTATACATTCTTGTTTAGTATGGTATGCTTCTAAATGTGCAAAATTATCATGAAGGGTTGAAAGGCAACACACCGAATCCCATCATAGTTTCATACGGTGATAATCGTGATGCTTCACTTGCAGTATCGTTACTATTATTATTCACTTGAACTCCATTATTGTTTCTCATGTTATTCCCTGACTCGGGGTTTTGAGAGCCATCTTTGGTGAATACATTGTAGAATAACCCATAGGTAGCAATCCCGTCTTCATCCAATTCCTCCTCTTCTTCGCCCTCTTCCTCTGCATTGTTAAATACACCCCCCATATTAGTTGACAAGGATGTCACGGCATTCTGTATCAAAGGGGAATTATAACTGTGTAATGGGTGGTGTTGGGAAACGGGTTTCTGCATCGACTTCGATGACTCAGGATTTTTAGTGTGAATGTTCTGTACTGGTGCTGACTGTTGGTTGTTCAAACTCAGTTGTAAGCTTTGTTGCTGCTGCTGCTGCTGTTGCTGCTGCTGCTGCTGTTGCTGCTGCTGCTGCTGTTGTTGCTGCTGCTGTTGATACTGTGGAAAGTCAGAAAGATTACGCATAAGCTCCCAAAAGTCCATGCCTTCTTCTTCATCGTCAAACCTCGGACGCTTTCTACTCTGTAAATTATTGTTCGATGTTCTACCTTGAAGAATTTGTTGCTCAGCAGCTGTAACATATTCTACTGCTTGTGTGAGTGGTGTAAGCGAATTCGACTCATTCCCACTATTAGTACCTGATCCGTTACACTTCGACACATCCAATTGATCTCTCTTTTCAGTAAAGATTTTAGCTAAATCATTTTCTTTGTCACGTTGATCTGAATATTCAGAAGCTGTATTTGGATGGGCTGGTGTCTGTTGCTTCCGGTCCGTTACCACATGGTGATGGTGATGGTGATGGTGATGATGTGTAGAACCTTTGGATGAGTTGGAAGGTGATGAATTTGAACTATTCAACTTTGGAACTTCTGTTAAAGGGGGTAAGTAATTGAAATGCTGATATCGGTTGAGTTGGGTTTCAGGCTCAAGATAATATGCAGATGTGCCTGAAGAAGGAGGTGCTGCTGCAGATACTGGTGCTGATGTGTTGGGTATTCGGTTATTATTGGAATTGTGGAAAGTACCAGGTATTGTTTTAGATCCATACGTTCCAGAGTTCGAACCATTGGTCGATTCAAATTGTCCATACTGTGAATATGGAGTGGTAACAGATTTAGTTGAACTGGAATATTCAACTGGAGTTGTCGACACGGCAGGAGATTGAGATGAACCTGTTGTAAGTGGAGGAGAATAATGGTGATGTATATGCTGATGTACTGCAATCTCCAAGTTATATGACTTGGCATAGGATATCAAATATTGTACTAATTCTTGATTCGAAACAACCCCACCTTGAGAATCATTGAAAAGTCGTTGATGAGGTAAGTCACCTTCATTTTCATCATAATTCACAAATGAGTATCTCCATTCAACTTCACTACTTCCTCGAACTGGCCGTACCTCGGGTGGCCGAGAAATCTGGACTTGAGATGACTGTGTTTTTTGATGCGAACCAGTGGAATTGGATAACTCCGACTCACAAAATTGCTGTTGCTGATGTTGTGGCAGCTGATTCTGTTGTTGTTGTTTATGATGATAATGCAGCTTCAGCTGTTGCTGTTCATGTTCATGTTCCATAGCTGGCTCTAACTTCATGTCAACATCAGAATGACTTGTTTGATCATCAGTATCTTTATCAATACTACAAACATGGGCCAAAGTACCGTCCGTGAACTTCTCTACTTCTTGTTTGATAGTTTCCAGTGCCCGGCCTCTCACAACATCAGTCACTATTTTCCTCCATCTATTACGACACGTTAGCAGCGGACGCCCATACATACTGTTAGAGATTGTACGCCACTTAGTACCATTATCTTTGACCATTCTGATCAATAGCAAGTCTTCCTCCTCATTCCAAGGTCGTAGTCTATCTTTAGTCTTGGGATCCAATACTTCCATGTATCTTTTCGAACACTGATCATCAGTTCTACCAGGGATTTCTCTTGCGACTTTCTGCCACAAGGTACCGTACTTCTCATACGCTCGTAAAAGCATATCATCTTCATGTTGAAGCCACCGACCTTTCCGAAGATGAGGAGACAATGAATTGAGCCATCGTTTGCGACAATCTTTAGCTTTGCGTGTTCCGTCTGGAGACACCTGAGGAGCAATTTTCTCCCATTTCACTTCGTCGGGTGTAAAGGAATGTACATCATGCATTTCTGAGATCAATCGTGTGAGTAATTCATCTTCTTCTTTAGTCCAAGGCTTACGACCCTTACGAAATGTCAGTAACCCTAAAGACTCTGTGACTGCAATCGGGTCAACAGGGACCATCCGTTTCCTCAGTTCCACTTTCTTGGACTCCATTCAAATGCTTCCAACTAGTAGTTTATATAGAATACCGTGCTACACAACTCTACTTAACGGAGGGGGAAGGCTCTAACACCCTTTCAAACTCCACGCCACACACAATGAAATAAAAAACTGCCTCTATTAATTTTATGATACTCACTGAATATCGGTGTGTGTTTATGTGTATCTTATATCTGCGTCAGCTTGCCAGCTAATGTCTATCCCTCTGCTAAGTTTCAGTTGACTTCTTGATGAGGTTTTTTGACCCTGAACTCCTTTGTATGGTTCTCAGAAGTCAATTTTTTCCTCCTCGGCGCTCCCAACAAGCGTTATCACACTGTATGCGAACAAGGATGTCTAAGCGATGAGGTGGTATGGGAGGAAAAGAGCTGAAAGTAGAAAGGCTTAAGGTACTAATATGAGGATAAATTAGCTTGGAACTGGTTGTAAAGCATTGTACGTGTTTATATTAATTGCAATTAAAGGTTTTAAAATTGTGTAGTGTAAAATGGATGGAACCGAATGGAGAAACTTCGCTATTGTAATGTAATGAGTACATCCTTAAAGGGTTATTGTAGGCTCAGTTTGAAGCTAATCTTCCTTGTCTAATCTGTCTGTTATTGATAAGACGGATCAAGTTTCTTAAAAGCATGGCAATTGTCACTTTACCAATAGAAGGAACATACAACCCAGCCTTCATTTTAATATCATCATTAAAGTTCTTGCAACTAGCAAAGTTAATAATAACAGTTCCGTTTGAAACAACTTCTGTGGGGAACTTGTAGTTTTCCAGGGGTACACCTGTTATGATAACATCACAAAAAGGAGCCACCTTTTCCACGGAATATTCGGAAGAATTCAAGTCTTCAACCTTATGACGTTGTTCCAGGAGATCGTCTCCCCTTGTGAATCTTTGAATTCCAGTTACGTCTGCAGAATAAACAGTAGCACCGTCGTTAGCTAGTAATGCAGCCAATGGGCGTCCAACAACTTCAGATCTATTCACTACGAGAACCTTCTTACCATAGAGACGATTCCCATAATGTAATAAGGTATTGTAAACTCCCAAGTACTCTAAAATCTTAACCATGGCCAAAGATGTACAAGGAATAAGTGATTTCTGTTCATTATGAGGAGGATCCAAAAACCGTACGTTATGGTATAAGTTATGGTAATACATGAAATTCAAACCCTCCACATCTTTCTCTGGAGAGATTTGTTGTTGTAAGTAAGTATCCTGAGAATCTCCAAATACTGGGAAATATACCATTATACCATGAACATCATCATCTTTGTTGGCTCTTATAAGAGCTGCTTCTAATTCGTTCTTTCCCACGCTGCGTAATTCATATTCAAAACCTAAAGGTTCACATGTTTTGGCTGTCCAACTAGCATACATCTTAGCAGCTGGATCCTCATTAGCAAGAAGTCCAACAATCTTTGGCTTGAAATCAAGCTTTGACACTTCTTGTACAACCTCTTCAACATAAGGTTTAGCTATGGTTGATGCTAAGATGGTTCTTCCTGCTGGCTTAGGGGTGGAAGCACCGCTTGGAGTAGTAGCTGTGTTCATTGTCAAGGAGTAATATCTGTTGGAGATAAGATTAAAGGCTGCGAGAAGTTGAGTTCTTTCTATTACAATAATTTGCACTTGTATATAAAGTTGAAGGTTTAAAAAAAAGAAGCTTTAGCAGAATCTGTTCTCTTTATATATATATTATTTTACTATTATAATGGAGATGTGCTCTTGCAAATTGAAACATGCGTAATTTCAATTATACAGTTTGAAGGCCCGAGTCACAATTTTCGGAGTTACCCTTCCGAATTAGGAAGGAGAAGTCCGGTATGTAAATCAGTATATTATGTACTATATTATGTACTATATTCATATGTAACTATTCGTATAATCATACTTTGATATCCTGCAATCATCCATTATTTATTAGGACCGAAGATGCGCACTGGCATCCTTATACAAACTCTGCCATATAAAGGCCTCACTTAACATCATCTCTATATCCTTTTCTTTCCAGCTAGCGGTTGGTGGTTTCTGAAGGAAAAGTAATATCTCTTGGAAATCTCTTTCCTTCAAGTCTCCACTAAACTTAATGAGAAATGCAGCACACACATAAATATGGAAATGACTGAATCCTAGCGGTGTTTCACTTAAATAAGTATCCCACATACGCACAACCAAATCAAGACTAAGTTCCCGCATCAAAAGACAATTCATCCATCTGAAGGCAAACTGAATATATTCAATCCCTTCATGCTCGAAATGCTTTGATAATTCCAAATCAATCTTGGAAATTAGATCTCTAAGTTCTCCCACCAGACGAAGAATACCGGGTTGTTCGTGGATATAATTATCAGTTATTGTTTCCAATAAACGAGTTAAAGACCAATAAGTATCTGCTTCAATTACTGACCAAGCTCGAGGTGAAATCTTAGAAGTATCAAGACTATTAAGGGTAGTATGAATTAACTGGGGATCTTTTAAGAATTGGGCTTCAATTTCATCATTCTCGTCTAAAATTCCAGGAATAAACAACCCTTCATAATCTGATTCCTTCAGTGGATTGTTCATTGCTTCAGCTTTCTTTTGAACTTGCCAAATATAGTTATGAAGGAAAATATGAAAAAAGGGAGTTACCAAATCATTAATCCCTTGAACATATCCACTAGCAGGGTGTCTAATAGCCCATAGATATAATATTTTTCTTAATGACTTTTGAACTTGAGGGTCACCATATAATTTTATTGAAGGATTTGTTCTCTTAACATCAATATTTATTTGATGGTATATTTGACGATCCTTATTATTGATAAGAGACGAAGAAGAAGTATTGGAAGTAGTTTTCACATCATCAAAATCAATTGTAAGTACTCTAAGACCTTCATTATATTCTTGTCTTTTTCTGGTGAGAGTTGAACTTTGTCTTAGTTTATTTGTAGGAAGATATCCCAACAAAAGTTGCCAAATAAGAGCCCGTAGATCTTGTGGAATCCCGTTCCATGACAATTTACGTAACTCATTAATGTCGATTGTATTTCCAGGTTTTAGTATTTTATAAAACTTGGAATATTTTGAATTAAGCTGGTTTTGTTTGGCCACTTCTAATTGAGCTCTGTGGTCTTCGTGGTCTAGTGATTGTTTCTTGGAGGCACTGCTTATTTTCTCATCCTTTCTTTTAGGCAGACTTGGTAAACTTGATACCATACCAATCTCAGGATGAAACGAATCCACCAAACTAAGAGAGTTCCTTGATTTATTACTAGGATCATTATTATTATTATCTTTTTGCTTTACGCTTGTGAGCTTCTTATTCCTAACATCATTCAAATCAGCATCCCAATCGGCATCCAAATCTTTGTAAAATGTATTTGAATGGGTTCTATGACTCTTTAAATGGGATGAAGAACTCAAATTAGAGTGTTTATAGGGACCACCATTATTACCAACTCCACTTTGAGAACTTCCACTACTTCCACCACCAAGATTAATACTTGTAGAATCATCACCATGACTTCCTGAAAAGGCAAACGAGGTCCCCATAGAAATCGATCGCCCCACCAGTTTAGGTCGCAATTTCGGTGAACCTGGAGAGCTTAACAGTTCATCAGAACCTCCACCTCCAACTCCGCCACTTCCATTCCCCAACTCTTCGCCCAGCACCCTTCCATATTGCATATTACCATAAATCGAACTATTGACGTCTTCTCCCAAATTCTTGCTTTTACGAGAAGTTGAAGTCAACGATAAGTTCTTAAGGAATGACGACAAGTGTTTGCCCTTTCCTCCCAGTTCACCAAAGACAAACTCATTGCTTGTCCCCAGGTATACCTGCGACATTTCTTGTTTCTTCTTACTCATGTCTCGGGGCTAAAGAAGGAACACTTTGAGTTCAATAGCTCATAGTTTTGTTAACACTTTTACATAATAAATTGTACGGTGATTTTGTGTACTATTCTCTTAAGCGTGCACATAGCAGTATGGTTGGCGGGAACTCAACATTACATTAGTTATCTTCTTTCTTTCTTATGTTAACCTACGTAATTATTGTCGATATAAATACAAGATGTCTAAGCGGAAGTGATTTCACCCTTAACAGCAACAGAACCGGGCTTCAACTCTCTACCTGAAAGATGTAAGACACCATTTTGGGTGATGTTAACAATGACTTCCAATTCACTGTTTGGTTTGAGATCCTTCAAACTTAATTTGGCCAAAAGATCACCAGTTTCGTAAACAACTTCTCTTTGGATTTCTGGTTCTTCATCGGAATCATCATCCAGGTCTTCTGCATCGGAAACAGGAGTTGGTTCAATGATGGTTTCCTTAATGGTTCTCTTACCTTCGTATAATTCAATGATAACATTTTCATTGGTACCATTGGTGACATTAACGGACTTCTTAATAGGATAAGCAGTTTCAGCCACCAAGATTGGAACAAAGTTACCTTCAGCATCCTTAATACCAATTGGCTTCTTCAAATGTTGGGTGTTAACAACAATTGGTTGTAAAGATTCCTTAATTTCTTCTTCATCAAACGATTCAATTAAGGAGGCTTGTAAAGCAGCACCACGACAGATTAATTCAGAAGGATCTAAAGCCTTGGGGTCCAAAGTTGGAGCAACAACTACGGTAGATTCAGGGAACACAAAGGAAACATTGGAAGCCAACTTAGGAGAGTGAGAAGTACCACCAACCAAGACCACTTCATCAATATCTAATGGGTCTAAACCAGCTTTCTTGATCACTTGTTCGACAAAACTGGTCATCTTACCAAAAACAGATCTAGCAGTCAACTCGTATCTCAATCTATTTATACTTGTGTGAAAGTCAAATCCTTCAGCCAAAGATTCAATAGAACAGGTTGAAGTTTGAACATTAGATAAGGTTCTCTTGACGTTTATGGATTCAGCCTTCAACTTGGCTAATGATCGAGCAGTCTTTCTTGGGTCAACCTTGAACTTCTTTTCAAATTCCTTAGCAAAGTATTCAACTAAAGAATCATCTAAATTGTCACCACCCAAATGTGGCTCGTGGGCTGTGGCTAATTCAGTTAAAATACCACCTCTAACCGAGATAACAGCAGCATCAGATCTAATGCCACCAAAGTCAGCAACAACATAAGTCTTGTCTTCCAACAATTTGTTTTCAGTGGCAGATAAGTGGGCCAACAAAGCAGCACTTGGTTCATTGACCAATTGTAAAACCTTCAAGCCAGCTTCACCAGCAAATTTGACCAATTCGGTTCTTTGGTGTTCATTGAAATCAGTTGGAACAGTGATAACAGCTTCAGAAATATCGTTACCAAGGTAATCTTCAGCAGCCAACTTAAGTTGGATCAAATGTCTTCTAACAGCTTCACCCACAGTAACAATTTCTGTCTTGTTCTCTTCTCTAATGATTTTGTAAGCAATATTACCGTCCTCGGTTTGGATGGCAGGAGCACCCAACTTAGAAGCAGAAATGTCAACTTCGTCGTACTTCTTTCCAATGTAGTCTCTGAAGTTAATGATAGTATTGGTAGGGTTTCTGATTAATTGAGCCTTGGCTTGAGCACCATGGTATTCATCAACTCCAACATATGACAAGATTGAAGGGATGGCTCTGTCACCATCAGGGTTAGCAATAACATCAACCTTACCGTCAGCATTAGCAACAGCAATGGCAGACGAACTGTTCCCAAAAGTTATTCCCAAAACAGAAGACATGGTTATTATGAGTTCAAAAGCAGTTATTGGTTTTGTAGTCACTGGGTCTTTTACTTTAAGTAAAGCACCTTAATTACCTGGGTATAAAAAATTTTCGACTAGATGAGATTAGTGTCACAAAAAAGGCTAGAGATGGGTTACTATTAGATGAACATATGCAATTAATCTAAAAATTAAGTGAAAAATGAGTTGAAGGATTTTTTCAGATAACAATACTGGTGGTGAACTGCAGTAGACTAGAATAGTATTTTTAAGATTCTAATACATTTATTGTGTGTACTAAAGTTAGTCTCTTCATGATATTATTCAGGTTCGGTAACGAGTAAACAAAGGGGTGGTAGCACCAAATATGTTTCTGGTAGCGCTAAAAAGCCGATATAAACAAAGCCAGGGAGGTAACCCTTATATTAAAGCACCCGTAGATGTACTTGATACGAGCCATGGAGAACCCACACGAAGAAGAACATAATGCATTGTTTTCTCGTATAATTGACAACATGGTATGTTTGCATTAACTAGTATACGTTTACACTCATCTACTAACAGAAGTAGCATGAACTCAATTCCTCAATAGTACTTATGAATAACGCCCTAAAGGAGATCAACAAGAAGAATTTAGACACAGAGATCATTTGTCAGCTTTGGGAAGGATATCTCAAGAATGCAGATTGTAATCTTGAAGCTACGGGACAAAAACATGCTCCTATATAGATGTTTGTTTCCTTTAACCTATATAAAGGGTGCCACCCAAAATGTGTTGGCTCAATGTCATTTCATTACATATGGTCTCCAATTGCTAATATTTATTAATATGGTTAGGTATGGGGTATTCTAATTTATCCTTTAAGACTCCATCCCGAGGTATGCTTGAGTCACATCTTGATCAAGACTGCAATTTCATGGTTATGGTAACGTAATCCCTTCATTGGTTTGCTATGATGAACCAGCATTAGCAATTTCATTGAACAGCATAGAGATGTGGGACCCACCTTAGTATTAACTACATTCAGTACTGGGAATTAATTGTGTACCCTCAAGTTGAAATACGTATTATGCAAGTGAGCCCCTTCAAGGCTTCAAGTTTATCTCACATATCAAATTGTCTTCCCTTTGAGACCATCTCTCCAAGGACAGCTGATAAGTGTATGATCCTACTACATATATAATATGGTTGTCCAAATACTTGGGACTACATTTGTGACTATCTCGTAGTTATATGTATTTAAGGCCTCGGCCGCTAACAAAGTAATACTAATGTACAAATTTATATTAATGCATAACATTAAACGCCTTCTGCTTAGTTTTGAGTAGGCAACATTCCGAATCTCTTCTTCAAAGTGACTCTTTGTCTGGAGTACTTGTCATCGGGAGAAAATCTAGCTGGATGAGCAGACTTGGTGATTTCACCATCATCAGTCAACTTCTTCAAAGTGTAAACACGCTTTCCTTCAGTGTCCAAAGTGTACATCAAATGCATCTTGATAGATAAGTATTATAATATGGATGAACCAGAGTATGTTACCTAGAGTCATCTCTTAAGTCCATCGCTGAAAAATTTCAATATGGTTAACATCTGGGACGTCGTGCACGACTTTCACGATAATGGATTTTGTTACTCTCTTTGTGACGTCCTTAAACAGAACACCGTATTGTTTTCCCAATGATCGGAATCAGAGTTTTAGGTTTAATACAGTGGTAAAACTTGTGACCCATGAGTCCCCCTAAAACGGATGCATTTGCTGATCTACTTTCGGGAAAACTAAGCCCTCGGAATGAGGTTTCTTCAAAGCTCTCTATGGGCCAAAGATTGGGATCCAACGTTATAAATGGCGGACAGCAAAGTAAGAATGGGCCAGGTCATTATCAAGACTTAGATCTACTTCTAGGAGGTACCTCGACATCTTCTATTGCATCTCTGAAAACAACTTCGACCAAAACAGTTGATGTTGACGAATTACTAGGAGTACCTGCTCTTTCTTCCTCAAACTCTAAGCCAAGGTCTAGCAATAGTGTTAATAGTCATACTTTTGAGGGTTCATCAAGACTAGCCAGCTCTGCGTCCTTGTTAGACGATGAATTTACAGATGCATTTTCTCCCGCACCTTCATCAATTCCTACACCACATCCAACTCCTATACAAATGCAACAAACACCACCTTCCAACCCTAGTGTGAAACAGGAATCTCGATCTCAATGCTCTTCAACAGGCTCTAGAGTGGGATCTCCGGCTTCAGCAAAGTCATCTATTTTGGCTCCAGGTCTATCTACTGGCAGTACCACTACTGATGATAAAAGAGACGGTGTTCTTGCTGAGTTGGTGGATATAGGGTTTTCGATTGAAGCTTCAAACGAGGCAATTGATAGGTGTGGCTATAACCTACAAACCTGTGTCAACTATATAATGAGTAAGGCCGCTGGTAATGATGATGCCGCTAGTGGTAGATCAAGTTCCTCATCACGGAACTCGCAAGGTAGCAATAATAATAATATCTTGACCAAATCGTTAAATGATGTTTCGGTCGATATCTTTAACAAGGCTTCTAATTTGTTGTATAAATCAAAGAAAACTGTGATCAAGAATTTGGCTGAGTTTCAAAGTGGAGTAAAACAACAAAATAATGACGTGCCTGCTTGGATGAGAGACCAACACAGGCACAAGGCCAATGCAAGTGAGAGTAATAATGGAGAACAATCAGAAGAGTATGGTACTGATGAAGAGAACATTAACCTAGCAGCAATTGAAGATTTTATAAGAAAGCAAAAGCTAAAAGATAAGGAAAGAGCAAAACACAGGTTTGATAATTTGAAGTCGTCATCTCCTGAAGCTACCACAGTCTCATCCAAATCACCACCAATTCAAGAATCATCAAATAATAATAACAATAATAATATTGGAGGTCATAATAGAAGAACCGATTCTGGTTCTTCGTTGTCGTCTAACGGATCACGTCCATCTTTAAGATCTCAAGCATCATCGCCAGCTCCTCTCAGTCAACCTCAACCTCAATCTTCACGCATGGTTGAATCAGATCTTTTGGGTCTTGGTTCACCATCAGATCGTTTCAGATCAAGCAAAGAATTTCAGGATGCAACTATGTATGTGTCTTCGTCTCGTAGACGACAAAAGCCTTCAACTCCACTGGCAAAGAGCAATAGTGTTTCTCCTTCACGGGTTTTTTCATCAGCACCCAGACTTACGGTTAATACACCTTTGAATCAATTTTATCAGAGTGATTATGAAGTTTCTAAATTGAAGGCTACCGAATTCTATTCAAAGGGGGATTATCAAAGTTCTTTGGTTGAATATCAGAAGTGTTTGGGAGTGTTGCCTGAGAAACATGAACTAAGAATCATTATATTGTCAAATCTTCTGATTAATTTGATCAAGTTGGGAGATTACAAGCAAGCATTAAATGTAGGTGAGGATGGATTAGCTTTAATCTCCAAAGAGAGCCTTAATGATGCCACTTATGTTATCAATGACAAACCTATCAAGGCCTGGTATACAAGATTGTTATCGCGGAAAGCAGAAGCTTTAGAAATGCTTGAACAGTTTGCAAAGGCACTAGAAGCGTATACAGAATTGATATCTCTTGGAATGAACGACAAGAAAATCATGGATGGTAGAAGAAGAGTCAACAATATTATCAATCCTCCTCCTAAGAATCCTCCTGTTGCAGCAGCTACTCCATCAAGGGTTTCAAAGACATCACAGCAACCAAAGGATGACTCTTCGCTGAAAATGGTCAAAGCTTACAATGAAAATACTAAACGTGAAGCTGAAGAAAAGTTCGCATTGTATGATGATGTTCAAGGCCGTTTATTTAAATGGAGCAATGGTAAGGAAGATAATATCCGTACACTATTGATATCATTACCTTCAATATTACCAGAGAGATTGGGGTTTCCATTTTTAACCACAAAGAAGATTACCCTTAATGACTTGATGCTTCCCAAAAAGGTCAAGATCAATTACATGAAAGTCATTGGGTGTTTGCATCCCGATAAAACTCAAAACTTGAACGTAGAAGATAAGATGATATGTCAAGGTGTATTTGTTATTTTGAATAAGTCGTGGGATATCTTCAAAGAGCAAAATGGTTTGACCTGAAGATTGCATTATATATTTTACAGCTTTTTAGTATATACTAAGGAAAAGTAGTATAATACGATGCGACATTTATAGCGATAGGAATGACAACGTAATTATAACTATAAAGGATTTAACCATTAACCTATGAGATTGCCATACACACAATTTTGTAATTGCATAGTATAAAATTATAGATTCTAAGTAACACTATTGACACACCTATTTTTGGTACTCATCAGGATAAAAGATCAATCTTTCAACACCATCTTTGGTTAAAATCACCATTCTAATGACACCACCAGAAGACCCATCCCATTTGATAGCCTCAGATAAAGCAGTCTTTATAAACAGTATGGTTTCTTCCTTTTCCATATCCTTCTTGTAGTTTTCATTACACCACCCATAAATAAAAGTAGAACCAGAACCTGCAATGGCATATTCTTGTTTATGAATTGAACCTCCAATAGGAATAGAGAATACCGACCCCTTGTTGCGTTCGTCATATCCAGCACATATAATACCAGCAGTCAACTGGTCCTTATTGTTATAACAAATTTCCTGGAAAAGATTAGCAGCAATTTGTGTTGTTGGCTTTTCTCCTGAAGGCAACCTTGATGAGTACATTTGCATTGAATATTTGACAATATCTGCAACGGCTTGGGTATCAGCGGCAGACCCAGAACGACAACAGTATATGGTATCGTGTATTTGAGTCAACTTATCAGTCACTCTGTTGGCAATGTAAGCACCGGTGGTGGTACGCGAATCCGCTCCCAATATGACTCCGTCTTTGAATGTAACTGCCATAATAGACGTACCCAAATTGACTTCACCTTTTTTCAAGTGATTGATATCAACAGAGATTCCATTCATTGTGATTGATTATTATATAAAATTATAATACTATCCGATGCTGTAGATTATACCTTAAAGTTTTAAAACCTTGTGTTCACTTTGTTTAGTGGATCTGGAAGATGTAAGAGTGTAGTTATATAAATTCCAATTTTCACAGTAACAATTCAATTAAAATTGGGATAACAAATTCAATTAACCAATCAATTCAACTCAAGGTTCCTGATACCCAAAAATGTAAACCAAATTTTGATTAACTAAATCAGTACAACTTAGACCTTCTTAATCATGGAGTACATTGCCACCAATTGTTTCGTTGACTTGAGAAAATCAAGATCATAACAGTTTTTATAATCACGTGATTATACATGATATTAATCATGTGCCAGTTCACGTGACGTTTCCTATATTTTATTGTCTCTGTCTCTTATGAAGATCAGGTACTATTTGGATTCGGAATAAGTAAGAACCAATGAATGAAGCTGCATTCAGCGGCTGTAAGTAAATGTCAAAAGGATTTTGGTTTCTGGCCCAAAATGAACATGGCTAGATTCGAAGCTAAAACTTCATTTCGTCATTTTACATTGAGATCCATGTGATCCTCGGTAACGGATTTACAACTCCGATTTATACTTTTATTATCATGACCCAATTGTATGTTAATCCGGGTAAAAGGAATAATATCTTTACAATGACAAGGCAAATTGAATTTATTAGACATTTCACACTTATCATCTAATCAACAACTAAGCGCTGGGTGTTGAACGCGTGTCTGTACTTGAGTGATCATGAACTCAAACACTTTGGTACAAAGTTAAGCCCTATCTGTAAGAACGAGAGACAAAAACAGCCACAACGCATTAAAAGCGAGAATCGGTTTAGGGCTTCGATACTGGAAATTAGAAGTTATCAATGAATTCAATAAATAACACGAGAGTCCGAACCCTAGCTTGATGATAGTGACAAGAAGAGAATTAGTGTATTTGGGATCAAAATAAAGTTTCGATGTAGTTCCCATTCCATTTGTGGTGATTAGTGGCTTTATTACAAAATAGAGGATATGACGTTGCTCACTTTAGAGCTTACCGAAAGGGGATCGACAGGGTATAATTATGTAATTACTAAAAAGATGTGATAGTGTTTTGGTTGAAGAAATATATTACCGCCAATTGAGGAGATTACGGCTCTCTACCTCCCCTCCTTGTAGATGATGGGATCGAGGAGAATGAGTGATGTTGATGTAAATCACAGAATGCCGTACTTAAAATTGAGCTAACACATTCAGCATTTCACCGTTGAAACGTCTACAATAAGTCTCGAAAGTCCAAGATGGAATACCGTTAACTCCAGATTATCAGTTTTACCTCAATACCAATTTGAAATCAAAAGTTAGTGGGCGAACAATCCTGGTTAGATAAAATCCGCTATGGAGGTTACTGTTTATCTCTATGGCCTTGTTATCAAAACAAAAGCGAGGCATTTCGAAAATGCTATCTATCTCATGCTTTAACTGTGACCACCACATTTAACCCACTTATCTCGTACATACTACTCTCGTATATCCTGCACACAATTTAAATTTGAAACGCCTTCCCAATATACCATGAGGTCCTGATAAGCTGGATTTAGGCATCTACGCAGGGCAAATCCCATTTGAATCCTACATACATTAACAAGAGATATATGGCTCTAGTGAATACGACGTAGTTGTAGTAAATGCTGAGAGCATGACATTATCAGTACAATATCGTAATATGTACGTTAGCCTAGCTGTCAAAACCGTTATTACTAGGCGCCGAGAATGCTGGGCACGTTTGATCTCTCGATTTTCTGCTTGACAGCACGTACTTTTTCTTATCCCATATCTAAAGTTCTTCCGAAAAATAAACCAAGAAAACAGGTTTGTGTAACTACCTTACTCACAAGCTGTTATCACGCAGGACGTTACTAACAACGTAAAAAAGTAATTATCTCACTAGGTAGGAAATCCTACTAACCATTCGGCATTGATAACCATTGCACTACCTAAGTTAGTGATTTTATCAAATTATCTAGATAGAGAAATCTACATTAAGCAATAAACGATTATTCAAGACAATTGATATCCGAGGGTATTACCGGTTACTTACCGAATTTGGTCCGTTTTACTTTCGACCTGCAGTTATGCATAAGAGGCCTTTGTTACCGAATATTCTTTGATCGCGTAGTGGTAAAACTTACGGCGTTTGGCCCAAAGAGTGATGCGGCTTGCATATATTTCATATTATAAGGATTTCAGTAGAAGGCATTCTGGTCACTTGCAACTCAAATGCCCTATACGTCAACGGTTGCTTTGACCTAAAGCATTAACTGCAACCCCACAAGTTTAATAGTGATTATCTTATCCAGTGATGATAATGGTACGATAAGCGGAGTATCGATTAGGTGGCTTTTAGATTCTGCAATTCCATGTAGGTTAAACATTTCCGAGGATTTGGAATGTGACGATAGGTTGTTAGTCTCATAATCATTGAAAAGAAACTCAATCTTTAATCAAAATGTTAATTCAACGCTTATGGGTTGAAAACTCTGGCCATGTAATATGTCGTCGTTTGCCTTGTTAAAACTCTAAGTAGGTTATGACCAGTATTTCTTTTTTGGCAATTTCTGCTTAATATTTGCTTTGTTCTCAAACTAGTATGTATCATCTGGATTTCTGATAATGTGATACGCAGGAAAGAACAGATAAGGATTCATGCACTAAATAAAATACCACAGTTTGTTTCGATGCAGTGCACCAATTCTCCACTGTGAGACGAAGCAGAATTAGTAAAATCAATGGATGATTTTTTGCAGCGAAACCTTCCCTATAAATGATAACCCGTATCCCCCCTTGGTAATTTTGTAGAAAAAACGTTTTAATCTCCAGATTCATCTCTTTAGTAAATCATATCTATACACTTTAAAGATGCCTGAAAAGGAGTTGAATTATATTAGATCAAACGAAGCCGCCGATATCGAAAAGAATGGTGGTGTCATTGTTGATGCTTTTGAACAGCAAGACCACAAGGCCCCATTAACCGGCTGGGCTAAGTTTGTTGATTCTTTTAAGCCTGCTGACGATGATGAGATGGGTTTAGATCCTAACTTGACTGAAGCAGAAAAGATTGCTATCAAAACTGCAAACTCCCCATTGTCTAGATCTTTGAAGAATAGACACTTGCAAATGATTGCTATCGGTGGTTCTATCGGTACTGGTTTGTTCATTGGTTCCGGTAAGACATTAAGAATTGGTGGTCCCGCTGGTGTTTTGATTGCCTATATCTTAATTGGTAGTATGATCTACTGTACTGTTCAAGCCTTAGGTGAATTGGCTATTACTTTCCCTGTTTCTGGTGCTTTTATTACTTACAATACACGTTTTATTGATGAATCATTTGGTTTTGCTATGGCTTGGAATTACGCTTTACAATGGTTAATCGTTATGCCGTTAGAATTGGTTGCTGCTTCTATTGTTATTAGTTATTGGGACTCGACAACAAACCCGGCAGCATTTGTCGTTATTTTCTGGGTTCTTATTGTGGCTATTAACTTTTTTGGTGTTAGAGGTTATGGTGAAGCGGAATTTGCCTTCTCCTTGATTAAGGTCGTCGCTGTTGTTGGTTTCATTTTCTTGGGTATCATTTTGGTTTGTGGTGGTGGTCCAAGAGGTGGTTACATTGGTGGTAAGCACTGGCACAATCCTGGTGCGTTTGCTAACGGCTTTAAAGGTGTTTGCTCTGTCTTTGTCACAGCCGCTTTTGCATTCGCTGGTACTGAATTGTGTGGTTTAGCTGCTGCTGAAACCAGTAACCCAAGAAAGTCATTACCAAAGGCTACGAAGCAAGTTTTCTGGAGAATTACATTGTTCTATGTTATCTCATTGACATTGGTTGGTTTATTAGTTCCTTATAACGACCCATTGTTAACTTCCGGTAAATCATCTTGGGATGCTTCTGCTTCTCCTTTCGTCATTGCCATTAAGAACGGAGGTATCTCTGGTTTGCCTTCTGTCATGAATGTTGTTATTTTGATCTCTGTTTTATCTGTTGGTAACTCATCTGTTTTCGGTTCATCAAGAAC